AATGCTACGTCGGCTGAGCCATCTTTTTTTTCTTCTTTTTTTTTCTTTTTTTTTCTTCACACACCCTAAAAACACCTCTGTGTGACAGTGTCCGATCACTTATCAGGTAGAGCACAGAGGTATCAAACACATGGGCTGTGTCTGAAATCACAGACATTAATAACAGTATGCGAGCTGAGTAATATGTTCGAATTCATAGTATTAAAAAAAAAAAACAGTATGTAAGAAGAACCCGGACCAACTACTTTCGGCGAGATTCTGAAGTGAGCATCCCATGGGCGCTATGCTATCCCATGATGCACTGCGAGAGAATTCACAAATAAGAGTGAAGCGATGAAACTGCCCTACTGAAAAAAACAGCTTAAACCAGCCTATGCTGGTTGGCTGGTTTTAGCTGGTCGACCAGGCTGGTTTTAGAGAGGTTTTGGCTATTTCCAGGCTGGTTTCCAGCCATTTACAGCCTGGTCTTAGCTGGTCAGGCTGGGAGCCCAGCCAAAACCAGCTATGACACTTCTATGACGAGGTTTTAGCTGGTCATTTTCCAGCCTTACCAGCTAAGATCCGGTCGGAAATGGCTGGAAACCAGCCTGGAAATGGCCAAAACCCCTCTAAAACCAGCCTAGCCTGGTTTAAGCTAGATTTGTCAGCTGGGTGGTGTCAATTCCTCATACTATATAGAACAGGGGTGTCCAAACTCAGAACTGGAGGGTTGGTGTCCTGCATAGTTTAGCTCCAACTTGCTTTAACACACCTGCCAGGAAGATTCTAGTATATCTAGTAAGAGCTTGATTAGCTGCTTCAGGTGTGTTTGATTAGGGTTAAAGCTAAACTCTCCAGGACACCAGCCCTCAAGGACCGAGTTTGGACACCCCTGATATGGAACATACTTTTCTTATGATCATGTAGTAAATTCAAATTCAAATGTAGTACCTACTCGAGTAGTAGGCGATTTTGAACGCAGCCATAATCTTTATTTTCATCCAAATGATCACTAAAACTGGGATCTTCAGCAGCAGGCGTGTTTAACGTGACCCCGTGACCCCCTTTATTCAGCAGCTCCTGCAGCAGAGAGCAAATCCTTTAACCCCGGGGGTGTGACACTCAACCTTTGCCACAGCTGCAGTCAGCTGGCCCGGGCGGCACTGAAAGACGGGGATCAGTGAAAAGAGAAGACAAACGTGCGAGTCAGGCTCATCTGACCTCTCACTCTCTATTGTTTGTCCCTCCCTTCCCCCTGTTTCTACTGTGAGAGCGATCGCGAGGCCAAATCTTCACAGCAAGAGTGATCCGTGCTGGGAAATACACACCACCTCTGGCACACACTGACCCATTTTCTGTGATCCCTGTTTTTCCGAGACTCGCAAGCAAAAAACAAATGCAGCTGAGTGAAAATGATTATGCAGCCGCTTTGATGGGTAAGAGGGAAAGGTCTCAGACATGAGGGTGTCAGAGCGGCAGCGTTTATAAAGTGATCTCTGTCAGAGCAATTGTGAACGGTGTTAGACGAACAATGCCGACATAATAAGCATACACCTATTGTTGATGTTACACCTGACCTCGAACTGCAAACTATCAGTTCACAGTAGTTTTTATATTGTCTGTTTCTTTAAAAAGACCTTAAAATGCTCATAGTAGTACACTTAAAGAAATAACAATCACTCTAGATTTGTTTAAATGATGTACACTTGATATTTGAGCGCTAAGGGTGCACTCGCACTACGCTATCTGAACCATGCTCAGGCACGTTTGTTTGACAAGTGCTCAGAATTGGGCCCAGGCACAGTGCAGGTGGCCAGCCCTGGCCTGGTTGCAAAGGCTGATTTATACTTCTGCGTCAAACACCGGCGTATGCTACGGCGCTGACGCATAGCCCTTCGCCGTGGCCGTCGCCGTCACTGACGTGCACCTCTCAAAAAATGTAACTACACGTCGCAACAACGCGTAGAGTAAGCTCTGTGATTGGTCGGCTTGGTAGCGCTGACGAGTCTGGGCGGGACCGAGAACCGCGCGAATGGCGCGAGCAATTGTTTACAAGTGTGGAGTCCCGTGAAGGAGCTCCGGATGGAAAGTTTTGTTTTGTGTTTACCTCATAGTTAAAGTTGTTGCACGTTCGCCGGTTCCTGCCTCAAAATGAGCGAGTTTGAGCCACTTGTACATCGCGTAAGTGTTCAGGAAAAGCAAAAAAGCAGCGAAGAAACTCGACACAGAGGAACATTTACACCTCACTGCCAACTAGCGTTTCGGAAGTGTTAATGCAGACCAACAGAGACAGCGCGCAGAAGTATAAATTTACAGCCACGCGTGTTGCATGTGCCGTGGGTTACGCCGGTCACCTGACGCAGAAGTATAAATCAGGCTTAAGAGGTGTGCCAAATCGCAGTTCGGTTGGGCTTCGGCACGGTACGCTTGTAGTGTGAAAGCAAATCGGAGTTCAAAACTGAAGACGTGACGTCACTTTTAAGTCACTGTTGTATGTGGATTTATTAATTATATACTTACATTTTAATAAACATCAACTGTCATGGTTTATTACAGAAGCAAACCCCTCAACTGTACCTTTAGTAAACCTGCTAATACCTGCAGCACTAGTATCACTTTTACATACCTGTTAACCCTCCCGTTTTTCCCGGGATTCTCCCGTATTTTACAGTTCTATCCCGCTATCATCCTGTAAAGAAATATTTCCCATATTTCTTCTGTATTTTCAGTGTTTCTCTGAAGGGTGGCAAGAAACATTAAAGAACCGAGCCTCCCTATACACAATCCATACCACTGAACCACCAGGGGCCGCCCTTTGCTCTTAAATGTGAGACTGTTCTGTGTTATCGCTTTGTTTAGGCATGAAAACACTTTTAAATAAAAATAACAATGGCGCGATTCCCCTTCTTTTTCATTACAGGTGCCGTCACCCCCCCATGCAATCCTCAAAACAGTCATATCATAGTGCACGACTGTCAGACGCACTCCATAGTGATAAATAGACGCTGTTTCTCAAAAGGATTCTGTGCATGCTATTTGAAGCGGAGTGAAAGTCTGGCTTTTGGGTGCGTGTTTAAACAGACATATACGCATAATTAATAATATTAACATCTTAATATGTCGATATTGGTGGGGGGGTTTTCAAACACAACTAATTTCGTCTTCGATGAGCATAAAAAGTCAGGAAAGCAGTCGAATGCCTTCATTATAATGTTAGATGTGTGCATTTTTAAAGGGACAGCTGTTAATGTAATCAAACAAAAAAAATCTAAATAAATAAGAGATTAATTCACTGCTCTTTCATCAGAATGTGTTATACAGTGAAGAAATGGCTAATGAGATTTGATAACTTGATTCTATTTCATTATAACAGCTATTAATTTTAATAAGCTGAACTGTTTGCTAATGTATTTGCTGCTAATGTACAGTATATATTTATTTTTTCTTTTGTAAATCATAATAATAAAATATATTACTGACCATTTAACTGTTTATTTACAATGAAACAGCTCCAAATGAACATATTTACCCCTACTGGGCAAACTGGTAACAACAAACAAGCCGTCAACATGGAAGTAAGCGGTCAGCGGGTATCGCTAAAAGGAACAGAAGCTGTCGGCGACGTCATACTGCCTTGTAGCGTTTGTTTTAAAGATGTAATGCAGCCATACGTACCTCAGCGTCAACGGTTCAAATTCACTTTGAATGGGTGACGTCAGGCGTTGTCGAACTGCATTGTGGATCCGTTGGCGCCGCTTCACAGGCGTTGCTCGCTGCAGAAGATGGGACTAGCTCAACTTTTCAAACCCCGACGGAAGCGTCAGCCAATCAGATCGCTGTATGCAAATACACCAGCTAGACAGTGGCCTATTGCTGACTGAATTTCATTGGCTGACGCTTCTATGACGATCATTTCAGCTTCACGATCACTTCAGACACGCCTTCAGTCAAGCATTGACGCTGAAGCCCCGTGTGAATGGGGCGTGACTCGGCTGGCAACTTTTGGTTTTAGCCTGGAATGAAAATTTTAGCCCTGCCCCGATGCCCCAAGCCACTCCCCCACATCAAGCCACGCCCCTATTTATTTAGAAACATATACAAATTATAAATATATTATTTTAATAGACACTTTTTATATAATATTTATTATAAATAAGCTAATCTTTTGACTAAGCTATGCTGCGGGAAAGCGAGCAGCACATCAGCTTCAAGCAGGAGTGGTGCGAAAGGCACGAGGCAGCGCGGGTATGTTTTCTGCGAGCATGCATCAGTTAGTTTTTGATTACAATGCTTTCACCAGTTCAGGTTTGGTTGCACATAGAGAATAACATCTTTATATAATGATAAAAGTCTTGAAAACCACCTTAAATACAACAGGAAAAAAAATTTCACAGCGATGATTTTTCTGCGTGAGAAAATGGATGTGTGGCGTGAGAATACGGTCAACTGCATTACTCTCTGAGAGTTGGCAGCCCTGCTGACTACATAATTTGCACTTCAGAAATGTAGATAGGGGTACATCTATTGTTGGTATTTTCATACTGCAGAGTGGGTACAAATTCAACAAAATACTACTGACTTTATCATAGTAACTTTACTATGTTCTTTGACACTTTTTCACATGGAAGACATTTACAGTGAAACAGTGCCAGTTAAAAAAGCTTTAGTGTAATTCTGCATCCACTGTTTTAACATTCAGCCAAAGAGCTTAGAATGAACAAGAGGTGACACTCAATAGAACGTTCCATTGCAACATCAGCGCTCAGCAACAGCCCCGGATTCCGCCATTTTGGAGTGAAAGCAATCGGCTGTCCATTGGATCTTATTGCTGTCGCGATGGCAAGCAGCTGCTTTGTTTTTTATTTATTTATTTAAAAAGCGCATTAAAGCTGAGATACAACCTGAAAGACGACAATACAACACTTACTATCACAATCATCTGAACGTTTAATAGTTTATTTTACAGACTTATAATATGCTTTAGTGCTATTGGAGTTTTCATTCCAAAATGGCAGCCGCACCATCTAGTGGCTGTTTCCTAAATTGCACTAGAGTGTTGCCTCTTAGTGATTCTATGCTCTTTGTTCAGCATAAAATCCCCATGCATCTTTTGAAACAATTTTAACAACTTTTTTAGAGATTTCATCAAAATTTCTTAACCCATTGTTAGGAAACCTCTCACTTAAACTCCACTTACAGTAGCTTTAGCCTTTGAAAATATTTGAGAAGTCAAGAAATGTGCTGTAGAGTCTTTCAGAGTACGGTTTCCTCCCTCCTCCACTCCATAGCTTCCACTGTGGAGCTGAGCTCGGCCTCTTGTGTAGCGTGTCGTTCGCTCATAACTGCAATCTGCTTCTCCAGTCGCCACAGCTGCTCCTTCTGCTTCTTTCTGGAGCTTCTGTAGGTGCTTGAGACTTTACTGATGAAAGAAAAATGACTTGATGATTCTAGGATTCACTTAAACTGTTGATATTGACATTCATCTATAAAAAATAAAAGTATATTTAAAACGTCTTTTAAGTATATTTCAGCAAAGTATATTTGAATCGAGTATCAAGTATAATTGAATATCATGTCTGTCAATACACTAGTACACCCTGTATGCCTATTTTTAATGTTGCTTGGGACTTAATTGATTAAGAAATAAAAATGGGCGCTGTATACCCAAAAAAATTGCAGCAATTGTATGGATGAAAACCATTCAAAGAAAATCAAAGAGAACCACTCAGCTTAATAGTGGAAACACAGAGCAATATACAGTAATCAACATTCAAAGTAAATCAAAAATGTCCTTCAAAATTGTCCTAGGCCAAGGTGTAGTTTTAGGACAATGTCGATGAAATGTGATGATACACTTCGAATGTTGACTACTGTCCAGTGATCTAGAGATCTGCGCGGGACTAAATTTTGAATCCCGCTCCAGCCAGGTTTTAGCCCGAACTCGACCACTACCGCTTATATTCAGCATTAGTTATCCCCTGCCCGCCCCGCCCCGTTTTCTACCCACCGCGCCCGATCCCGCTAAAGAGCAGGGGGAGAACAAAATCGAAATCCACCCAGCTATACAGAGTCCAGACAGCCTATAACAAGCTGTCTGTATAAACACACACACACACAAGCACCAAGCACACACACACAGACAAAGCTCTCTCTCTCTCTCATTCGCGCACACACAGACACACAGACATACACACCTCTCGTTCGCATGCGCGCACACACATACACACACAGCAGCGAACAAACAAGCTAAACACAGAATCGCGCTGTTTCAGTCACACACATAACGTTATATATGTGTGCTCGCTCGCTCAGGAGTCTGGAGCGATATTGCTAGACGGCCCGCTCCCATCCCAAATTAAACCTGTTACCGACAGCTCCCACGCTTTATTCGGAAATTTATTCCCGCGCTGCAGAAATCTGGTCAGGCGTGGGAATGCAGACCTCTACAGTGATCTACACACTTGTAAATTGTAATATCTCACCCTGGTGGCCAATTTTTTCCACATTTCTGACAGATCCTTCAGTTGAGCAAATCCACCAAGTCTTGATCTAATTGGACCTTGTCAAATAGTTTCATCAATTGAACCTGTGTTTTTCGAGATGCACTAAAAGCCCTCATAAGACTTGTGTGTTACCTTAGACACATAAACTGTATGCCAATTTTTGAGTCAATTGAACCAGCGGTCCACCAGGCAGGTGCGCTGCTGGCCCGTACAGAACCTATGACAACATTTGGGCCTTATGACAACATTCTGGTGGAGGCTGTGCCCCCTAATAATGACTCTGGGGGCCCTAAAACGACATGGGCCCTCAGAATTGTCTTAAAGATTATGCCACTTATAGCTCTCTCTAAGCATGTTACAACCTTGGCTGTAAATAGTTGATTATGTATCTGTTGCTAATATGAATAATACTGGTGGATGCTCCTGTTATTAAGCTAATAATGGTGCTGCTGATGTTTAAGTAATTTGGTTTTTAGGTTACTTGTAGTAGCGTGAGAGACGTGCGATCTCCTCTCTGTTAATCCTCCGGTTGGTGGTGCAGTCTGTGAGCGCTGAGTCCAGAGACTCTCGTAAAGTTGCCACTCTTGTCCTCAGTAACTGCTCCCTGCAACATCCACAGATTGAGCAATTGGCTTTTCTCATTAACGATTTCTCATGTGTTTAGATGGTTTTCTTACCTTTGCAATGCTGCCTGTAGTTCTCTTAGGATGGAGTGGTTTCGAGGACCAGGAATTCCCCCTCCACCTTCAATTTTTGCTAGATTTTCAGCAGTTCTCTGCAAACAAGACCAGCTTAGTCTCTTTTAAATTGTTTCACAAACAATGTATATCTGTGAATATAATCCTGAACACTGTATTAGCATTCGCTTCATAGATCAGAGGAGGCTGTTGGGAGTGAATGTAAATGTCACATTCTTTTGACTTTCCCTGCAAAAATGTCCCTGGTCAATCAATGCAGGGGTGTTCATCAACATTGGAAGTCCGAAAAGGTCAGGAAGTTTCATTACAAGCAGGAAGCATAGCATTTTGAGACCATGCAAACATTCCTAGACCCCTAAACCAGCTGTGTTCCATCCTGCACCTGGAGGGCACCTTTCAGAAGAATTTAGCTCTACTCCTAATTAAACATGAATAAGTTGATCAGGTTTTTCAGTAACACCAGAGAGATTTGCTGAAGCTACAGGAAACCGTCAATGAGGTTCTGCTGGCTTTAATATGGTAAATCATCAGATTCTCCTATCCACCCTCTCTTTTCTGGATATTATTGGAACCTTGCACCGCTGGTTTGTATTGTCAAAGTATATTTTCAAAACAGGCTCAAACAAACTTGAGATGCAGAGTGGAGTTGACCGCAACCACCGGGTTTGAGTCTGGCGAAGAACCCCGAAAAGCAGAAAGCAGGTAAAACAAAAACAAAAGGTAAAAATAATATAAAATAATCAAGTAAGTAACAGGGTGAGAATGTGGTAAGATCTGAAAACGTGGTAAAAATCAGGTTGCCGCGAGAGTGTCGGTTGGGTTTAGGGAAGTGGGTGGACAGGTCAATCGGTGCTTTTGTAAACTTTATCGGTTGGGTTTAGGGAAGGGAGTAAGTGGGTGGGTAGATCAGTCGATCAGTCAGTCGACAGCAGCCTCAAGTGGATTTAGGTGAGAAGAACAGGCACTAATGGCACTTGCAAGAGAAATTTGAGATCTCAAAAAGCGTACAAAGCGGCCTCTAGTGGATTTGCAAAAACAAAAAAACCTACAAAAAAAAAGTAGCTCCTAGGACTCATGCTGTGCTCACACCAGACGCGTAACGTGCAGATAAATCACGCTATTCGCGCGTAAATAGCTGCGTGAACATATGAGTTTACTCGCTTCATTCGCGGGTCAAACCCCGCTTCATTTGCGCGTGAAATCCGCTTCATTCGCGTGTCAAATTCACTTCAGAACAGACGCGGATTCGCGTGATGGGCAGGGCTTCTGTCTGCCCGGTGACTGTAGCTTCATAGCTAAATGGCTAGCATGGATTTTATGAAGAAAATAACAGTGTTTATGTGCTTTTTTAAGACTGAAAAACAGCTTCGATGCGTTTAGGGTCGTTTCTGAGTTCACTACATCCTTTCAGAGGTGCATCCAGCTCTGTGAGCTCATAAACTCACCCAGAAACTGAACCTGGCTGACGGAGGCTTTCAGCGGTGCTTCTGACTGAGCCCAGCCCAATTTGATGACCTTCTTGTCGATGTTCGCTGGAGGATTTTCTCTGGGACACCAACAACAGGCGATATGTCACAATCACGCCCCCACAAGAACAAGCTTCTGATTGGTTAACGCGGCGCGAATGTCCGCTGAAGTTCAGATTTTCGAACCTCAGTGATTCGCGCGAAACATTTGTTAAGCGCGTCAAACGCGCAAAACACTTAATTCGCGACGCACCATTCTCACGTATTGCGCCATTCGCACATATCGCACCACTCGCACATATCACGCCATTCGCAATGCGCCATTTGCGTCATTCGCGCTGCGCCATTCGCGCGTATGGCGTTGCAGGATGTCTATTCGCTTGTTTGCATTGACTTAACATGTAAATCGCTCGCGCTTGGCGCGCATTCCGCGTCTGGTGTTAACGCAGCATTAGGGTTAGGGAATCTCCAGAAATGTATATAGAGGTGCATGTCAATAATGAGTCTGGGTTGTATATTTTAAAGGCTTTTGTGTAAGTTACATATATTTAAAAGTAATAAATTGTTGTATAAATGCTGTAATGTTTTAATAATAAATCTGTTAAAACGTGTGAAGGTCATGTGACCATCAGGAAGAAGGCAGCATCTCATTTCTCACAGGACGTGTTCTCTGGATTCCCAAGTTCATTCTTCAGAGGTAACGTGGTAAGATCGGTCTCTACAAGAACGCAAGTCAATTCTCCGCATTCTTGGAATTAAGAAACAGCCCTTGTCTTTTTAACCAAACATACCTGATTCAGATCATGAGCTCATTAGCTGAGAATGCAAGACCTGAAAAGGGTGTGACAGACAAAGGAGACGTCCAAAACGTGCAGTGCTAGTAGTCCTCCAGGAACATGGTTAAGGGCACTGTGCTGAATGACTAAATGTAAATACATGTAATCTCTGCAGGAAATTAGCCCTTCATGAGCAGTGTTAGATACTCCTAAATGTCGAGAAAGTGAATCACAATGTGCTTGTTATTAAGGAAACGTCAGCTTTTAGGTCATTCAGATTATCACACATTTGAAAGCACCTGCTGAGCTGCTCTCCTCTCCCCAAGCTCATCTCGCAGACTGTCCAGGATCAGAGAAGTAGCAGAATCCTGCGCACTCTGGACCATAAGAGACATGTCCAAACACCGTCTCTCTTTCTCCAGGAGCCGGAGATTCCCACGCATCTCTGACATCTCTTCCTATGTAAAATGAAAGGTCTTTTATGAGACGGTGCAAAATAATTTCCATTAAACATCACATTCATAATATATATATATATATATATATATATATATATATATATATATATATGTATGTATTTTTTGGAGTGCACAAATTGATAGGAGTGTGCCATAAATAGATTTGGGGCAGAATTTGTGAAGGATCAATTGCTCATTTAGCAACATGTAGTCCCTTTCCTGTTTTCAACACCTAATCAGCCAACAATTTTCATGCAAGACATTAGCCCCTTTCACACATAGAGACCTTTCCGGAAAATTGCCAGCAATTTTCCGGAAAGCTTGTATGTGTGAACAGGTCCTTTTTGAAAATACCGGTAAATTCGTTCTGGCTATTTTCCGGAAAGAGAAGTTGTAACATTACCGGCAATTTAACGGAATGCTGCGCTGTGTGAATGCAGAAGGAAGATTACCGTAATAAGCGCGTGCATGTCTAGAACGTGCTGACGTGAGACGTCTGCTTTAGCCAATCACAACAGTCAGACGCATTTACGTCCGCGCGGTTTGTGAGAATAAAAACCTTTGAATATTTTTCCAGACACATTTAGCTGCTAGAAGTTAGTCAGATCACGTTTATATGTTCTTCTTAATGCCAACTGTGTAAATAATCATCGATGAGATGCTTATGATAAGCCGTTGTTTGTTTACCTTCAAGCTTTGCGTGCGCCTGTGAAACAGCCTGTGAGCGCCTGCACACGCACATATTATGAACATCTCGACATGAGAAAGTGATCCTGCGAAAGTTGTTCACAATATTGATCATCCACAGAGTTTGTAATTTAGTCAAATGTTTACAAATACAAGCGCAGCCGTTTAAAGCTCATTTGTGGTGAATGATGTCAGAATTTACCGGTATTTTGGAATGGATGTGTGAATGCTCTTTTCCGGAAAATTTCCGTAACGTCCTCGCCTGTGTGAACAGCGCTTTTTTGAAAATACCGGTAAAGTCGTTCCGGAAATTTTCCAGAAATTTACTGGTATCACTGTGTGAATGGGGCTAATGATCAGTCATACAACAAAACAGAAAAAGAGTCTCTTGTTTCTGTCAAAAGTTTATTCTCTACAGTAGAAAGTAGAGGTGAAATTTTCAAAATGGCTCACCCTGACTGTGTCCAGCTCGTATCGCAGAGCAGCTTTCTCCTCTTTGTTGTTTTTGGAAAGTGAACTGGCACGACCTCTGACCCCTGCGAGTGTGCCAGTGTCTGGACTGATCTTGTCCTCTCCTGCTTTGCCCCGCTGCGGGATGCACACCGCAGCCCTGTCCTGCTGCAGCCTGGAGATCCTCTGCGTAATGACTCCAGCTTTATCCTCAAACTCCTGCTTCGACAAGCTGAAGAATATAAAAATAAGAGGGAGAAAGATCGAGAGAGGCTTTTTAGATCCAAGATGACGTCTGTTTCGCTATCAGAACAAAATAAGGGGATTAATTGAATTGGTTTGGGAAGGCAATTGCAAGTTAATCCAATGTAATTAATGTAATTAGGATTGAAGATTAGACCATAGCTGTGTTGTTGTTGCTGAGCTTGCACTAAGATTCAAGCTACAGCTGATTTCTTGCAGACTGGATAAATAAGCAAGATATTTATCAATGTAATGACTATAGAAACTTGGATTGTGACCACAAAAACATATTTGATACAATAACCTGTTCGGCCTGGCATCAGCAGCGCCCTCTGGAGGACTGGAGGACTCACACTTGGAGTTCTCTTCTTTTGACTTTGAGAGGTCAGGCTGGGGTGTGCTATTTGTTGCTGTAAGAGAAGAAAAACAGTATTTGCATGCGTGGCTGTACATTAATATGTTGATGTGTCACATGAGCTGTAATTCAAAGAGTGTGTGGCACCTGCGTGCTGTTGTTTTCTGGCTTCATACAGGGACAGCAGGTCACTGTAAGCCTCCTCACACTCCTCGCTGTCAATCAAATAGCCATTATCAGCATACCACTCACACGCTCTTAAAACTCCCTGTACCAGTTTTAGGGGCCAAAGGTCAAGGTTTACAATGTCAAAAAATAGCCAAGGAAACTGAAAATCAGGTTTATAATTAGTTGTGCTCTCTTTTTTTGTTTATATAAAGCAGGGGTGTTCAAACTCAGTAACAGAGGACTATTGTCCTGCAGAGTTTATCTCTAACTTGCCTAAACACACAAGATTTGACTAGTAAGATCTTAATTAGATGGATCAGCTGCATTTACAACTACAGAGGAAGTCATGAGCTGCGTCCCAAATGGCACACTATACACTATGCACTTACACACTCAACAGCATAGTATAAGTATGTTGTGTTGTCCTAATAGGAATATAATGTTTTTTTACTAAGTGGAAATTCAAATCGTTTCCCAGCCATGCTGAAAAATCCAGCTTAAACCAGCCTAGGCTGGTTGGCTGGTTTTAGCTGGTCGACCAGGCTGATTTCAGAGGGGTTTTGGCCATTTTCAGGCTGGTTTCCAGCCATTTCCAGCCTGGTCTTAGCTGGTCAGGCTGGGAGATGACCAGCTAAAACCAGCTTGACCAGCCTAGCCAAGCTGGGAGTCCAGCCAAAACCAGCTTTATCCAGCTTAAACCAGGCCTTCTCTCTCCAATTTCGCTTCCTGTCTCAATACTGTCCGATCTATTAAAGGCAAAAAGGCCTAAAATAAATCTTTAAAAAAACACACAGTTCTGAGATATTGATTGTACCTTGAATGGCGATAGTGGTCAAACTGACCGCATTCATCTCAGCATCTATTTATTCCCTTGCCTTTGAATATGCATGCCTCTGTTGCCAAGCAACTTTCTGCCAAGAAAAACATATCTTTCTAATAAACAAAAACAGAACTTGACAGATGCGTCTTTCAAAACAACAATGTCACTGCAGTAAGAAAGCCTTGCTCACAAAGCAGCAGACAAAGTGAAGTGCACTCTCGGGCGGTTTAGTAACTCCTGCACTATTATAGGCTATATTGCAAAAAGATTGTATTTTTAGGGTAATGAGGTAAATTATGGAGATGAAGTGGGTAGTGATTTTGCCTCACAGCAAGAATGTCGCTGGTTCAAGCCCTAGCTGGGTCAGTTGGTATTTCTGTGTAGAGTTTGCATGTTCTCCCTGTGTTGCCATGGGTTTCCTCCGGGTGCTTCGGTTTACCCCTCCGTCCAAAGAAATGCGCTATAGGTGAATTGAATTAGATAAATTGTCCACAGTGTATGTGTGTAAAAGAAATATGGATGTTTCCCAGTGATGGGTTGCAGCTGAAGGGGCATTCACTGTGTAAAACATATGCTGGATAAGTTGACAATATGACGTCTTGTGTGAGCAGTCAAAATGACTGCTAAAGCCATTCGAGTTTTATTAGAACTGATTCTTTTTTGTTTCCTAAAGTTCCTTTTACAGCATCGATGTTGTAATGTAATTAGAATATAATTAGTCAAAAAGTGTTAAACGAGCGTAAAACGAGATGAAAGACGTGTAAACGTTAGCACCGACAGTAGCAGAAGGCTAGCACAGAAACTCCATTGAAAATACTAGGTTAAGATAAATTTCCATATTTTAAGGACATGGTGTAGAATTTTTTTATTTAATGCAGTGCTTCTTATCCCACTTAATATCCTATATCAATCATGCAGTGAAGATCACTGACTTTTAAAGAAATCAGATCTTAAAAGGGGACGCTTTGTTATGGCGCAACAGTTGACCAGAAGCTCTTGGGCTGGCTGACTGAAAATTAAAAGTCGGTGTGCATAGAGCCCATTAAAGCTGGGGATAAACTTTTCAGTGCATTGACCATCCAGGACTGAGTTTGAACATCCCTGAACTTAAGTTTTGATCCTAGATCAGAACTGATAAGAGGTGAAAACCGTGACGCACCAGTATGCCAAAGCCATGTGTAGAGCCGAGCTGTCTGCCTCCTGCCTGCTGAGACTCATGCTCAACTGCTCTGATTCTCCTTTCCTTCTGACCAGCGCAGCACTCAGACGCTCATTCCGAGCTTTCAGTCGCTCCAGACACCTGCTCAAAGAAAACACACCTTAAAACATCAAGCGTTTCAATCGTTTATCACTATTTACAACCTAGAGTACATTTGAGACGTGTTTATAGTTTAACTTGCATAACTTGAGTGCACAGAAACCTTGATGTTTGCCAAAACTTTCTGTAACCTTGCTAAAACATCATGCAATTCTGAGTGTGCCTTGCACAGGTGAGTGGGCTTGACAAACCACCTGAAGAAAACACACTCTGTCATCTCTCTGACACTTTATCCATCACCTGCACTAGTTTTTGCACATTTGCACCAGACACTCCTACAATCGTCTCAAAAAAGTTTTTAAAAACAAGGCATTTATTCACACAGGTGAGTGGGCTTGGCAAACCACCTGTAGGAACACTCTTCTCTCTATAAAAAACTACCCCTCGTAACTCTAGCACTTAATTCTCTGAGCACTAACCTTTGTATAATTAGATTTCACACGGCCGCCATTTTAAAAGCAAAATCGAGGTTGCGGTGGGAAGAAACCTCGCCTGAAGTCACACAGGAACATTGTGTACCTGCCTGTATATCTTATCAGCGAAGAGAAAGCGACACATTTATCATTTCACCGACTTCCGAAAGACCCGAAGGTCCGTTCTGAATGGATAGTGAAAATAAAAAGGGATATCAGACCTCATTTTCATTAAGTTAAGGGAAACGGCACTAGTTAGCTAACGTTTTCTTTCCCAAACTCACATTTTACATGCCATCTAGCAAACTCAAGTGAACTGATTCTTTTACTACATTAGACTTTTCACAATACTAAATTTTGGTTCTGAAATTTACAAAACAAACATCAATTTCCCGCTAACATTCAAGCACTGTTGAGCGCATTCTGAAACACAGCTGATTTGCCATAGTATTCACCAGGGCTCAACACAAATGACTGTGATTGGCCGTAAAGATCATCAGTTCACCGCACTTCAGTGCAAACACATACGAGTGATCCGCTGATGAATCGATTGATCTTCACAGCTTTAAAATGCTCCAGTGTTCCTGTATTTGTGTTTGCACTCTGTAAATAGTGGTGAACTGATGACCTTCATGGCCAATCACAGTCATGCACTATGGCTAATCAGCGCTGTTTAAGAAAGCGCTCAACGGTACTTAAAACGTTTTTAAAATTGCAGTACTGGGACAACAGTATTACAGACAACACAAGAGTGTGCTAAAGAGGCACCCCCCTCTTTCAGTTAAAGTCTACTTCAGAATTTTTTCAAAAGATGCATGATTAATGGGCGTGGAGCTCCGCGAGCATCGGGCAGGAGTGGGCGTGGCCAGCAGGGGAGAACGTAAGCAAACAACTGTTGTTGTCAGTTAGCTCACAAAATGAGACAAGCCGTGAGGAGATGCATGAGTTTATAGTTCACAAAGTTAAAATGCAAAGAAATGAACAGTGATTTAGTGCCCTGCTACATTTGTTATTCGTAATTTCATATACACATAACCACAATTTATATCATTATAAAGATAATTGTGTTTATATAAACCCTATAAATGAGGAGTTCTCCCTCAATCCTCGTATCCAGCAGACTCAGTGCAGCAGGTCTCCTGACCTGTCTATTTTAACCATTAGCCCTGCTGGTAATCTGGAGGATTTAGGCAAACACAGCAGCACGGCGATGTGTCTGAATGTGAACGAACTCCTGATAAAAGACAGCGTCCGCCATTCTCTAATTCTCGTGCTGCTCTCCCAACAAAAATGCTAGCAGCACACACAGCTTTGCTGTATGATCGGCCCTGACAAGATCGCGGGGGAAAACATGCAACAAACCCCGTGGATCATGGAAACAAACGCATATGAGCCTTCATGAACGGCTAAATACTGTGCCGTGGTTTCCGTGTCTCTCAGCTCGGGCTTGACACTGGCAGGTCTGGCAGGTCTCATGAATAATTAAGCAGCCGGCTCTTCTCATAGGATAAGAAAACTCCGCTATGAATAATAATGAGAAACCAACGCGTCATCATTGCACTTGCAGTTCTGCGCTACGTCGCAGATTTTGCTCCCGCCCCAAAAATAATTTTAAACCCGGAAGCTGAAATTAGCTGACAAAAGCTCAAAATTATCCAGTTTTCCCCACAATTAAAGCTGACAGGTGCTAACATTGTCTTAACTGATGCTCAACACACACATATCTGTTAATATAAAAAAAAAAAAGTTCTCCGGGGTGTCCTGAACCTTTAACGCTCACCGGGTTACATAGGCAGGAAAGCGTTTCCACAGTGTTTACCTGGTGCCATGAACTGAAGCCTAAAGAGATTGTGATGTTGTTTGATGCCTAATATGCTTTTAATTGTTTAAATTAAACTTAACTGAATGATATTAAAGCAACGTTTACACTAATCTGCATTTTGAAATCTCAGCAACAGCTGAAGGTTTGTAGTCCACATGTTGCTGTATTGTTTACAGTGCTAATCCTCTACTTCCAGGTTTCTTTCCACCACAGCCTCACTTTCATTTTTTAAATGGCGGCCGAGTGAAATAGGCGCATTGCATCTTCCTGTTAAATAATTAATCTGAATTATTCTAAAAAATGCACATTTATTTCAAAAATTCAAAATATAAACTACTTATGGCTATAATAAATTCAAGATATTTTAATAAAACAAAGAAATAAATAAACATCATGTGAAAATGTTTTTCATTTCAGCATCTAGCCTCTTTACTGTGCTCACTCTACCCTACTAAAAGCTGTGTTATACCAACACAATCTCACGGCAATTCGTAACTTTTTCATTTAGTGGCTAATTCGTATGAATTTGTACGATCTAATTCGTACAATTTAGTACGATTTGCTCATCACCCAATGATGGTTGGGGTTAGGGGTGGGGTCAGGTGCCACGCCTCCTTTTTAAAATCGTACCATTTCATACGACTGAACTCGAATTCGTACGAATTAGCCACTAAACTGGCAAAACGTAAAATACTTACGTTTTCTCGTGAGATCAGGCTGGTTATACTCAACGTGTAATAAAAATGTGGATGCAGCAATGAAAATGTTTAGTGTACTTAGCTTTGGATGCGCATCGTGGCCAATGCAGTTCAGAGGAATAAAACAAATAAACCCTCACCTCTGCATTTTTTCAGTCTCAGCCTGAAGGACAGAATCGATGGTGCTGGGAGGCAACGGGGAGTCTGGCCTGGAGCTGGGTAGTTTGCGGGACAGCAGAGGCGATCCGGGATATGAAGGAGAAGAAAAACAAGGACTCGAAGTTCGGCTGGAGGACAATGATGGACTGACAGGAGGAGAACAGCTCACTCCATACAGCCATTTCCTCTTCAGATCAACCACCTGCCAAAGGATTTGTTTGGGAACACAAGTTTTATTACGTTGGCTTGACAAAACCAACAAGCTGAAATTTTATTTAAGCTTTACTTTTTCTTCTTCTGAAAGAAAGCTAAAACCACCAAACTTAGCTCAGAACTTCAGTCTGTTTTTCTAATTGATCACACTTGACAGCTTCTGTAAGATGGATGATTAAAATATGAAATTTATTAAAGTTTTATTAAAGTTGTCAAACGAAATCCACCCAGTATAGGATGGACTTTATCTGTCTGTCTAGCTATCTCACTGTCTATAGAAGCATTCCTGCAGGCACATGACGTCAACATGGCGTCATATTGAAGATGTACCCCAACGTACTCCAGCATCAGAACCCAAAGTCAGGCAGACGTCAATGTCTAACCTAAAATCAACCAAATATCAATGTCTAATCATGTTACACCTTGACGTTGTGTGGACGTTACCACTATGACATCTAAAGCCTGGTTTATACTTCTGCGTCAGGTGACCGGCGTAACTCACGGCGCATGCAACGCGCGTGGCTGTGCATTTATACTTCTGCGCGCTGTCTCTGTTGGTCTGCATTAACACTTCCGAAACGCTAGTTGGCAGAGAGGTGTAAATGTTCCTCTGTGTCGAGTTTCTTCGCTGCTTTTGACACTTCCAGGATGTACAAGTGGCTCAAACTCGCTTATTTTGAAGCAGGAACCGGCGGACGTGCAACAACTTTAACTATGAGGTAAATAAAGAACAAAACTTTCCATCCGGAGCTCCTTCACGGGACTCCACACTTGTAAACAATCGCTCGCGCCATTCGCGCAGCTCTCGGTCCCGCCCAGACTCGTCAGCGCTACCAAGCCGACCAATCACAGAGCTTGCGCTACGCGTCGTTGCGACGTGTAGTTACATTTTTTGAGAGGTGCACGTCAGTGACGGCCACGGCGAAGGGCTATGTGTCAGCGCCGTAGCATACGCCGGCGTTTGACGCAGAAGTATAAATCAGCCTTTAACAGATGTTGGATTTTGGTCACTTTCCAACAGAACCTAAAATCAACCAAATATAAACGTAATTTGATGTCGTTATTGGACGTCAAAATAACATTGTCGTTAGACGCTGGCTAGACATTGAATTTTGGTAACCTGACGTCATGACCTCAATCGAACCTAAAATGAATGTCTTATGATGTTGCGTGCCTGCTGGGATGCTAAAATATACCAACATGCGAACATACTAAATTTTACTTAACCTTAATGATCACACTTTATTTTGATGGTCCGTTTGTTGAGTTTAAGTTACATTGCACCTACATGCTAACTAATTCTCATTAGATTATAAGTAGACTGTTAGGTTTGGGTGAGGGTTAGTGTAAGTTGACATGTACTGGCTAAGTGTCTTATAATCAGTTAAATGTCTGTTGAATGTCTGTATCAGCAGTAAGCAGTGTACTAATACTCAAATGGACCATTAAAATAAAATGTTACCAGCTTTACTTTTTCTTCCTCTGAAAGAAAGCTAAAACCACTAAACTTAGCTCAGAACTTCAGATTGTTTTCTAGTTGATCACACCTAACAGCTTTTGTAAGCTGGATGAGTTAAATATGGAAAAATCACACAGATTTTCATCAAAGTTGGCAAATATTTCAAGCTAAATCCACCCTGAAGACTGGACTTTATCTTTCTGTCTAGCTGTCTATAGAACATGCTAAAACTAACACCAATATAAGCTGGTCAGGCATGTTTTAGATGATTTAGAGGGTGTTCAGAACAGCTAAAACCAGCTTAGCCGGGCTGGGAGACCATCTAAACCCAGCTACTTACACCTTAAACCACTAGAAACGACCCGCAAGGAACCTAAACTAGCTGGTTTGTTGGTCTTGGGTGGTTTAAAGTGTTATTTCCCAAATAAATGTAAGGTCTCCAATCCCCTGAGACCTTCATTCATTCGCATATCACAAATAAATGTATTTTAGCTCCCTTATCGTGCATAGCAATGGTCTAGCTTGATTGGTGTATCACACTCAGAGCAGTGCGATGTGGCTGTATATTGTCACTGGTCTGCGACCTTGTGCCCACCACCTCCCACCAGAGCTGATATACAGCAACATCGCACTGCTACTCGTGTGATATTGCACATATGTTAGTAGATCTGTATCGTACATTAAATTTAAGAAGGAATGTGTAAAAAATTAGTGAGTCGGACCGTCACAAATGACCTTTTCCTGTAGAAACTTATTCTCGTCCTCCAGATCCACCAGGGTTTTTTCAGCACCCATGAGCTCGTCCTGTCGGCTCTTCAAGGAAGCGTTGAGGTCTTGGTTGTGTTTGTAGAGCGAGAGAACTTCCCTCTGATACTGACGTCTCTCATCGGTGGGCAGAGCAGATGGGTACGAGATGCCTAGATCCCTCTCCATCTCCTCCAGCACCTGGCCAGAGCACAGACATCAGAGCTGGAGCAAAATATAGTATTTCAAAGACAGTATGCTAACGTTAGCATTTTGGCAGATCACCTACTGCACCTTTAAACAATAACTAAATGCACTACAGAATGTTACGTTTTCACACAAATTGCATGTAAACACACCAACCTTTCACAGCGTAACCTTCAGTGCATTTAAAAGGGCTTCTTTTTACTCTTACTTCAAGTAATATTTACAAGAGGTACTTTTACTGTACTTGCATTTCATTTTTGGGCAAGTAATGGTAGTTTTACATGAGTATGATTTTTCAGTACTCTTTACAGCAAAGGTCACCAATCCTGGTCCTGGAGGGCTGGTGTCCCTGCAGGGTTTAGCTCCAACTTGCCTCAACACACCTGCCTCGATGTTTTAAGTATACCTAGCAGGAACTTGATTAGCTTGTTCAGGTGTTTTTTGATTAGGGTTGGAGCTAAAAATCTGCAGGACACCGGCCCTCCAGGAACAAGTTTGGTGACCACTGCTTTACAGCATTAATGAGCACCTGTGTGGCCTGAACCCAGCTCTCTCGGGCCGCAGAGAGATGTTTCGCGCTGATTGCTTCAACGTTGTGTGTTTGCAGTCTGAGCATCTTCTTTCCTTGGCCACTAGAGGTCTCTAAAGCAGAGAGAAGCGTCTGCAGCCGGTTCCAAAGCTCACTGCTGCCCCCTGTGGGAAACATGTTTTACATTTGTATCATTATTTATGCACACTCGAGTGGATCTAAATATTTATGATCTGCTTTCTTCGGTTGAACACAAAACAAGATATTCTGAAGAAAGTTAGGAAGAATCAGCCATTGATATACCATGCCAATCAATGGAAGTTACTTTATAATATTCTTCAGTGTATTTTCCTTGGTGTAGAAAAGAGAAACGCAAACAGTTTTGGAAGAAGTGGTAAATGAATAAATAATAGCAGAATTATAATTTTTTTAGTGAACAATCCTTTTAAATTGATGTTCTCTCAGTATAATTGCTAGCAAATTATTCTGAAAATGTTATCAATAACTAATAACAATTACAATTTAGCTAAATTACCTATAAATAATTGAATATTATTGAATTCAATAAAACAATGAAATGATGCTATTTGTATTAGTAACAATAGTAATATTTGGAATCTGTTTGACCTTTAGGCATTTCATTAATTAAAATTCATATCATTATTGAGTCAAATGTGGAGAAATTATGACGCTTATATATTTATTTTCTTATTTCTTATTCTTATTAATAATCATAAAAACATTCTAGATTAGACACTCGTAGCCAGTCTATTGGAAGGGGTGGTTCTATTTTCTCAAAAAGTGGACCTTTTGCAGTTTTTTGCCTCATTTTCTATTTCATTATGAGATTTAAATACTGCATTTTAGTGGCATTTTAAGCACTATCTTTAGCTGGATTATCTTGTCGGATGGTCATCATAACCACACAGTTTTTGATGTACCAAATATTTCCTGAAGATTAAAATGAAGAAATGTGAAAAAATACTTATTTTTAAAACACAAATGAATTACATCATGAATTATTAGAAAAAAAAATAGGAATCTGTTAAAGTTTTAAATAAAAAGCTGTTGCAGTAATTTCTCTTATGGCAAAGAATATGTTATTTCCATTGACTTTAAAGTGAAATAAATGAATATAAATATGAGAAAAATGCAAATTTTAGAGGAAATTTTCAGACAACATTTAAAGTCAAAATTATTTTTTTATTTTTAATTTAAATTATTTAAATTATTTTCCCCCTTTGATTATTTTTTCTCTTTTTAATATTTCCATTTTAAGGTCATTTTAAGGTTTAAAAACCATTTTAAGGTCAACATTATTAGCCCCTTTAAACTATATTTTTTTCGAGTCTACAGAACAAACTATCATTATATAATGACTTGCCTAATTCCCTAACCTGCCTAGTTAACCTAATTAACCTAGTTAAGCCTTTAAATGTCACTTTAAGCTGTTTAGAAGTGTCTTAAAAAATATCTAGTCTAATATTATTTACTGTCATCATGGCAAAGATAAAATAAATCAGTTTAGAAATGAGTTATTAAAACTATTATGTTTAGAAATGTGTTAACGAAATTTTATTTCCGTTAAACAGAAATTGGGGGGGGAATTAACAGGGGGGCTAATAATGCTGACCAACTGTAAATATATATTTAAATTTTTTTTTCCCAATTTCATCTATATTTATTCTCACAAAACACTCATCAATAAAGATAATAAATAATAATAACACTAGTCAGTGTATGTGGACACTCATTACAAGTAATGTGAGTTAATATTACTTTTCTAAGTAACATGTAAAGTAACGCATTACTTTTAAAAATAATTATATACAAATCAATAATATTTGAGTTACTTTTTATAAACTGTAACTTGAGTTACTTTTTTAGTTTAATTAATTAGCTTTTATAAAAGATAAATTGCTGAATTAAAATTAACATAGTCACGATGAATCACGCAGTCAATAGGAGAATGTGTTTATTATTTTGAACGCATCGAAAAAGTGAAAAACGGGATTACAGTCTCAATGGACAGCGATTTTATTTAGAACAAATAGTAGTAAACACACAGCTTTAAACTTTCAATAATCTGTATACAGCATGTATAGCTCTGGGGTCAGGAAGTTTTCAGATAACACCCTAAAATATTATTTTTCTGTGTTTTTTCAAAGGTAAATGAAGGTGTGGGTTATACAGTGTGTTGTATTTATTTATCTATTTAAAAAAAGAAAGAAAAAAGATCTGAAAGAGATCACGCCTAAGCAATGGTAATAAAAATGAACGCTAAAGTATCTCAAAAGTAATGTAACCTATTGCTTACCATAAAAGTAACACAACTAGTTAACTCAATATTGTAATGCATTACTTTCTAAAGTAACGTCCCCCAACACTGATAACAGTAATAATAATAATAATAATAATAATAATAATATATGGTGGTGTTTACCCTCCTAACTAAAACATTCAAAATCCAACAAATTTCTCAAGAGTCTTAATTTAGTCAAAAAATGATCAGCACATGTATAGGAAACGATATGATGTGGCTAGTGAATATAACTTTAGCATTTAATAAGCAGCTTTGCATTTGGGAACAAAGGTTTGGCAGGCAGTAAATAGCAGGCTGTCCATTCTGACACTGCATTTACTGTGATTGAGGAGGAGGCATTGTAAAAACAGAGCATGCCTTCTGAGTCCCCGCAGACGCTCTCCACAGATGCTGGGCCAGTTTCCACCGACATGAGGCTGCAGGCCGGAGATCTCGGTCTCTGCTGCAGGACGCACCCACTGACCTGGACTTCACTCTCACATGCTTTCATCTCTCTGTGAGAACATAGAGCCATACACATATATATGAGCAGAAATACACCACATACTGTACACTCACACAAGTGCACCTGTTTATCTACTCACTAACACAAATATACAGTTGAAACCAGGAGTTTGCATACACTCTAAAAAAAAGGAACACAACCATTTTTAAAATGTCTGATGATAAATTACACTAAACGTTTACTATTTTAGGTCCGTTAGGATTACCTAAATGATTTACATTTGCTAAATGCCAGAATAATGAGAGAAAAATGTTTTGAAATTTTTTTATTAATTTCTAAACAGTCAAAAGTTTACACACATTTCCTTGGTATTTTTTTTTTTTAGCTTTGCCTTTAAACTGTATAACTTTGTTCGAATGTTTTGTGTATCCTTCCATAAGCTTCTCACAATAATCTGAAGGAATTTTGGCCCATTCCTCCAGACAGAATTGGTGTAACTGAGTCAAATTTGTACGCTGTCTTGCTCGCTGTCAGGAAATATGGAGACCCAAGCGCAAGGGAGAAGTTCAAAGGATTTATTGAACAGAAATAAATCAACAATCTTTTGCTCCTCTGGGCAGTAGGAAAACAATCACTCCAAAAACACAGGCAGTCAGTAATCGACCCTCCTCTGGGCGTAGCAGGACTGATCAAACTCAAATAGACCCTCTTGGGTTAGTAGAAAAGTGGGGACAGACCTCAGGGAGCCGAGAAGATGAGACCTCACACGATCGTGGACTGTGGGCAGAGCAGAGGTGAGTCAGAGCACAGATAAACGGATGATGAGTGGTAAAGATCAACAACATTGAACTAGTCGAGACAAGACGGATTTAAATGCGTAGATTTCTTAAGAACAGCGAGAACCAGTAGCACACATAACTCTATGAACACAGAATCAATTCACTAGCACAGAACGAGGGAGAAGGGGAGACTAAATAGTTACAATAATCAGGGAGAACAGGTGAGAGGAATGGGGACGGGAAAACAAGCAAATTGATAACAGGTGAAACAGCATACAAATGATAATACACAAGAGGGAGACAAAGTAGTCACAAAAAAACCCCGACACTCGCACAAGCTTTTTCAACTCTGCCCATGAATTTTCCATAGGATTGAGATCAGGGCTTTGTGATGGCCACTCCAAAACATTCGCTCTGTTGTCCTTAAAGCACATTTGAACTAATTTGGCAGTATGCTTAGGGTCATGATCTGTTTGGAAGACCCATTTGTGGCCAAGTTGTAATTTTCTGGCTGATGTCTTGAGATGTTGCTTCAGTATTTCTACATAATGTTCTTTCTTCATGATGCCATGGAACATGTTTCGAGCATCTCGTTGAATCTATGCTACGACATATAGAAGTGGTGGTCAGTGACTGATGAAGTTGTTTGAGACAGGTTTTACCGTGGTATTTGTAGGGAGTCCATCTTTCTGTTGAGGTCAGAGATGATCTGCAGTAAAGTGTTGACCTCCGTCTCACACTGTGCCAGTTCAGAGTCCACTGACACCAAACTGTCCGATCTCTGCTGGCAAAACCTTCAGGTTAGATTAGACTACACAAGAATGGTCATGCGATACAGGTGGATTGAATTAACTAAATTGTCCGTAGTGTATGTGTGAATGAGTGTGTATGGATGTTTCCCAGTGCTGGGTCGCAGCTGGAAAGGCATCCAATGAGTAAAACATATGCTGGATAAGTTGATGTTATTCTGCTGTGGCAACCTCTGATTAATAAGTGAAGTTTATGTATAAACAAATTTCGAGAGGATCACGTGCTTATGATTGCTAGCAGCTGACCCGCATTATCTAATTCATTACGATCCAATCAGATGACTCCTAAACTACTATAAATACCCTGGGGTTTATTCCATTGCTATCTTCGTTTTGAAGAGTCCCCCCTTCCTCCCCTACTCCTCCTTCTTAGACGGGTGACACGGTGGCCCAGTGCCTAGCACTGTCGCCTCACAGCAAGAATGTCTCTGGTTCCTGGCTTTACCAAAACTAGCAGACATTTCTGTGTGGAGTTTGCACTTCTCCCCGTGCTCACGTGGGTTTCCCCCGGGTTCCCCGGTTTCCTCCCACCGCCTAAAAACATGCAATTAAGTCAATTGAACAATCCAAATTGTCAACATAGACACACTTCTAGTTAGTAATTAATTTCAAGAGCATTCACTTGCTACAGCAGGGGAGTTCTCGAGATCTACCTGAGCTCAAACTCCCCTCCCGCCTTGCAACGGGAGGAAGCCCTGGGCTCGAGGATCTCATGAGCTCAGGGCTCTCTCCCGGGACAGCATGCCAAACAAGCTTTTATAATTAATCATCAGCTAAGTGTGAACTCTTGAAAGAGACTAAGTTGAAGGAAAATGGAAAAATTAATAAATTTCTCCTGGAGGGTTTGGTGTGCAGGTACTTTTAAGGAAAATTGAATGTATGCAGTTACCTGAATTTAATATGCTTTCTATATATATATATATATATATGCATGCAAGTATGCAATGACTATTCAGCATTTACAAGTTTAGTTCATTTTGACTGACATGACATAAGCAAATGATAAAGTTATAAATAGCAGGGAGTTCTATGAAAGCAATTGATGCATGTCCAAAAGCATCTGCAATTTGTTGGAAGGAATGAGAAACTGCTACTAGGATGTGCACAAATGACTAATCGTTGTGAGAAATGTATTAACTGTTGTGCAAATGTAAATAGTGTAGTGAGAAGTGCACCAAAGCAACTGAGAAAAACTGTAATAAAGGGACTAAGCCGAAGGAAAATGAATGTAAAAGCATATTTATAAAATCAATCTGATGCACTAATGTAGGAGATTTGATTTGTAACTCATCTAATTTTTCACTGCACATCAAAACAAACTGCCATACAGAACAATATGGATGTTGTTTTCTACATCAGCCTTTTGTTTCGAGCGGAGGAAAAGGAGGAAACAGACACATCCTGTAACTGCACTTCCTGCCTCTGTTGCTGTATGCAGCTCGGTGTAAGAAATCAAACTGCTGCTGTTGTACGCCGCTGTAAATATCATATGCTTGTCAGTGACGTCCCTTTTGTTGCAGAACTATCTGTCAACAATTGTTGGGGTTTCACAAATGACATTTCGCAATTAAAACCGTCTTGCTTTCTGTTAAAATTTGTACACGACCACTGAAAAAATGCTATTTTTATCAGAAATATGAAGTCGCACTCAATTTGTGTGGTTGAAATATCAAACCCAGAACATTCTGGATTGTAAAAATGCTGGGATCCACACAAGTCCTTCATGTTGACCCAACACAAACTGATTATAAGTTGAATGAATTGTTTTTACTAATTAAAGTGGATTAAACAAAAAACTATTAAGATGTCACAAACAAAACTTCAAGAATCGTGTTGATTCAGTTCATAAATGAAAGTAGCTTGAGCTAGCAGGAATGGTAACACTTTATTTTGATGGTCCATTTGAGTATTAGTAGACTGTCTGCTTAATATCTGTTGATACTGCTGCTCCAACAGACATTTAACTGCTTTAAAAGTATACTTACAATAACCCTAACCCCAACAGTCTACTTATAATCGAATGAGAATTAGTTGGCATGTAGCTGCAATGTAACTTAAATTCAACAAGCTGACCATCAAAGTAAAGTGTGACCGCAGGAAATGAGTGTACTTCACGATTTACAGAGCTACAATAAGGATCAGCATGTACGCAGCATCAGTCACTCACCTCAGTCATTTGTCTGCTTTGGTTTCAGGTGCTGTCCTCAGATAATGTCCTCCTCAGCAGCGGATAAATAATTATTAAAGCGCTTTAAACTGTGTTCAGTGTGACCCGGTGACAGGCAGCAGAGAGTTTGTGTGTCTCTGGCTTTCTGAGCTTCAGCACATCAACATTCAACCTGCTCTCTGCTAAACTCGTCGCCTCCACCCACTGGGTTTTACCTCTTTCCTGTTTGGTTTGTTTTTAGATTATTTGACGCATTTATTTGGTAACACTTTACAATAACAGTGCATGAATAATGATGCATCTTTACTAATAATATAAGCTGATGAAGGCATGCACTGATCATGAACTAAATTTAACCACACACGTTCCTGTGTGAATAATGTCTACCTTGATTATTAACTTGAAGTAATGACCTGTTCATGTACAGTTAAAGTTATTAGCCCTCCTGTATATTTTTCCCCCATTTTCTGTTTAGCGTAGAGAAGGTTTTTCTAAACATAATAGTTTTGTTAGGTAGTTTCTAATAACTGATTTGTTTTATCTTTGTCATGGTGAGCGGTAAATAATAATTTACTAGACATTGTTCAAGATATTAGTATTCATCTTTAAAGACTTAACTAGATCAAATAGGCAAGATATTAGGCAAGTCATTGTATAACAATGATTTGTTCTGTAGACAATCGAAAAATATTGCTTATGGGGCTAATAATATTCACCGTAAAATGTTTTTAGAAATACTTAAAACTGCTTTAATTCTAGCCAAAATAAAGCTATATTTTTTTCGATAGTCTACAGAACAAACCACTGTTATACAATAACTTGCCTAATTACCCTAATTAATCTATTTAAGCATTTAAATGTCACATTAAGCTGTATAGAAGTGTCCTGAAAAATATCTAGTCAAATATTATTTACTGTCATCATGGCAAACATAAAAAATTCAGTTATTAGAAATGAGTTATTAAAATGTTGATAAACATGTTGAAAAAAAAAATCTGCTCTCCGTTAAGCAGAAATAGGGGGGAAAATAAACAGGGGGCTAATAATTCTGACTTTAACATATTATTCCAAAATACTATGGAAACAGGTAAAGAAAGCCGAAATCTATTATTAAATAAGTGAATATGTTCGTTTGACATAGAACTGAGAAGAGTTTGGTCAACTAAAAGGTGTGTGGTGTAAAAAATAAACGAATCTAAAGAACCTTTAGGGCCAGATTTGACTAGAGGTATAACACAATCAGGGATTGTACCAAAAACAATGGCATATTATTTGGGGGGAACTAAAAAGAAAACTAATGCATAAAGTTTTCATATGAGAAAGGGACACCACAGTTATCTAAGACATACGTGCCAACACTCCCGTTTTTCTCGGGAGTCTCCCGTATTGTTCTGTCTTCCGGAAAACTCCGGAATTCCCGAGACCAAAATATTAAAGCCTATTTAGTGGTATTGTTTTTTTTTTTTTTACCACAGATAGTTGACGATTTTTTTCACGCATCACCCTATTGGCTGGTTGACGATTTGTTTCAGTGTGACGTGGTGAAACAATTCATCATCAAAAGTGTATTAAATAAATTAATTATCAACCATACAACATCCATGTTCAAAACAAACACTTATAATAGCATCTATAATGCATGAGAGTTTTATTTGTATTTTTATCACGGATTGTTGACGAATTGTTTCACGCATCACCCCATTGGCTGGTCGACGATTTGTTTCAGTGACGCGGTGAAACAATTCATCATTAAATGTTTATAGACGCACTTATAATAACCATGTAATTTATTGCAGTCATTAAAATGTGATCTGAAGGGTGATTGTGAAGGGCGTTATTCATGAAAGTGAATATTTTTCATGTAGCCTGTAAAATACTACATTTATTTGATCTAAAATATAATGAAGCAGTATTGTGATTTGCGATTAACGCAATACTTTTGTACGTATTCGTTTTAAATAGTCTATTATATATTAATTTATGCTGAAAAGCATTTAAGCCACTGTTATGAAAGAGCTGGGGAAACTTATTACGCCACTAGATGGAGACAAGAGACTGCTGTTTGAGTTTTACTAATAACATTTAATACAGATAAACATCAAAACTGCATTTGTTGGACCAAAAATACACTAAAACATTATTGTAATATGTATATTGTAAAATGTTATAACAAATTAACTAACTTATTTATTTGAAAAAAGAACTAGAAATCTATTTCTCATTTTAAAAAGTCATGAATTCACTTTGATGGAGTTTTTTCTGAGTTAATAATGCACACAACACAGAAAGATGTACACAGCAATGATAGCTGTATTAAATTAAAAAAAGTATGAGTGTAAAATGCAACAATTTACTAATTTATTTTATTACATACAACCTAAAGCAATTATTTATTAACTTTCATATTAAAAACTCAATTCACTGTGATGGTCTTTTAATGTTTTAAATAATAATGACATATACACAACACACAGAAAGGTATACAGTAAGGATGTGTTTATTGAATAAAAAAACAGTAGAAAGCAGTGATATTGTGAAACGTTCTTACAACTTAACTGCTGTTTTCATATATTTTTGGACCCGAATCTTATTATTCAGCATCATGACTTGCATCCGGAAATCATTCAAAAATGCTTGTATGGTGCTGGAAAAAACATAATAAATGCTGAAATCATTTAAGCTAGCTATTTTTGTAAAAACATTTCTCCTAGAAGTCTTTGATGAATAAAGAAATTAAAAGATACCCATCCTGTCACCTTCATTTGAGAAAAAAAAAAAAAAACTACAATTGTACTGGTTTTGAACATTTTTCAAACTATCTTCTTTTGTGTTTAAATGAGAATATCACAGTATCAGAACCACTTATATGGACAGTTCACCCAAAAATTAATATTCTGTCATTTTTATTCGAAAAACAAATTGAAAAAAGGTCTGAAACCGGTGACCATTGACTACCATAGTATTTTCTTCCCTATTACAAATATACTGGTTTTAAACATTTTTCAAAATATCTTCTTTTGTGTTCAAATGAAAATAGCACAGCATTTGAACCACTTAATGCGACAGTTGACCCAAAACCCATTGACTTCCATAGTATTTGTTCCCTACTATGATTGTACTGGTTTTGGACATTTTTCTAAATATCTTCTTTTGTGTTTAAATGGTAATAACACAGCATTTGAACCACATAAATGGACAAATGATCCAAAAATGAATATTCTGTCATCTTTATCTGAAAAAAATTTGAAAAAAGGTTTGAAACCGGTAACCATTGACTCCCAAAGCATTTTCTTTCCCACAACAATTGTACTGGTTTTTAACATTTTTCAAACTATCTTTTGTGTTTAAATGTGAAAAACGGTGTCAGAACCACTTAAAGGGATTGTTGACCTAAAAATGAAAATTCTGTCATTTTTATTTAAAAAAAAAAATTTAAAAAAGGTTTGAAACCGGTAACCATTAACTTAGTATGGTATAGTATTTTCTTCCATACTAAGAAATGTACTGGTTTTGAAAATTTTCCAAAATATCTTCTTTTGTGTACAAATGAAAATAACAGTATTTAAACCACTTAAAGAGACAGTTCAGCCAAAAATGAAATGTCTGTCATCTTTATTTGAAAAGAAACTGAAAGGTTTGAAACCGGTGACCATTGACTACCATAGTATTTTCTTCCCCACTATGAATGTACCGATTTTGAACATTTGTCAAAATATCTTTTATTGTGTGTGTTTAAATGAGAAAAACACAGTACTTGAACCACCTAAATGGACAGTTGACCCAAAAATGAATATTCTGTGATCATTCACACACTCTCCACATGTTTTAAATGTGTTTGAGTTTCCTTGTTCTGTTGAACACAAACATCACTGGACAAACTAGCATCCACTGACTTTCATAGTAATAACAACCCTTCACAGTATTACTGCTTTATTTTTAAATTAAATAAATGCATCCTTCCTGTGTAGCTTTCTGTGTGGAATTTCATTCCTCCATAGATATCAATTGCTACCCATGTCCAGCATTCTTCATAACATTTTCTTTCGTGCTTAACTACAAAAAAGAAACTCAAGCTGGGTTAACGGTGGAGTAAATGATGAGTAAACTTTCATTTTTTGATAGAAATACCCCTCTTTTAAGCTATGCAGATAAAAGAGTGTATAAGTAAGATATAGTTGAGAAATATTCATCATTACGACTCATTTCGGTGCAACTAAACCTCATTTAAAGCATTAAAAATACGCTACGCTACGCCTGAGAATGTTACTCAGCACATGAAGCTGAAGCACTAGCCTTCACATTAGCTTGAACGTTTCTTCGGCTGTGAGTTCAATGGCTGCTTTGATCTCAGCTTTTCAGGTCTTTCGAGATCTTCTTTAGCCTCCGAGAGTCTGTGAATGTTTCGATGGGCCGTTTGCTGGCGTCTGAGCATGTTGTCCTCTGGTCTGCGGCGGGGGAAGGTCCGCGCATGCCTGTGGGGGAAGGCGAAGGACACGAGGACAAAAGATCAGTTACGTCACAGAAGAACTCATCCAATCACACAAGCCTAAAACCAGCTTCCTCTGCATATGCTTTACAGTTCAAAAATACTACGGTAAACCTCTACAAAACTGCTGGTTTCAAACTTTGAAGGTTTTAAGCGTTTGCAGGTTTGCCCCGAAGAGGTTTACTGTCATGTTTGAGGTAAATGAGTTGAATAAGTAGGTTTATCCACTTACCACATGGCAGAAACATACCCAGAAGTCCCGGGTTTATATAGCAGTTCTCCAGGCTCCTAGTTCGTGCTTGCTTCGGCAGCACATATACTAAAATTGGAACGATACAGAGAAGATTAGCATGGCCCCTGCGCAAGGATGACACGCAAATTCGTGAAGCGTTCCATCTTTTAATTGATTATAGATTCATAATTATTGATTTACAGTACTTTTATTCATAATTTCCACTGTATGCTATGAAAAAAACCGAGTTTGAGCGTGCAATGCGCGGCGCACGCGCTAGATGGCGGCCGCGCCTCACTCAGAGCGCCTCCCTCACTGTACACAGCTCACATCACACTCGGGTCAAAACAAATGAAAATAACAGCGAATATAGGTATTTTTAAAGTTTAAATCAAATCAAATGTTATTGCGTTTTTCATCCTGATGATTCTAACTGTTATACAAGTCATAATCGTTAATAATAAATCCGATTCTGCGGTCAATTCGACTCAAAACAGCAGATATAGCGACAAAAAAATCAGGACGGAATGATTATATAGCACAAATACTGACGTTTAAATTAAATGTAATGTAACGTTACTTACCATGTAGCTAGACTGACAAATAGCGTCGTTTTCTCTTCTTCCTCGCTATTTTCTTTACCTGAAAACGCAAATCCAAAATCAAGCACTACCCAGAAAGCAAAATACACTCGGGCCAACCATACATTCACCATCATGACGATAGTAAGGTTATAAAACCGTCGTCATCATTTATAATCTAAACGAATCATAATCTATTCGACAAAGCAGACATCGACACAACTTCAGCCTTAAATTATATACGCGATTAGTCTTTTTAATCCATACTATAGTAAAGAACACAACATACATAATGAACATGTTGTAGGCAACAACTATAGCCAATAAAACAAAGCAGCCCCTTAAAAAAATATAGGCCATGTTTTTTTTTTTACAAGGATTTAAATAACACAGTTACTTTTCTTTTAGTAAAAACTAGTATACTGCTGTATTTATCACAGCTTTTCAGTCAAGTTAATGGGTTATTTCTAGCATTTGGTAACATTTCAGTCCCCCATATTTTTTAAAGTGGTTGTTGACTGAAATTACATTTTAAAACAATTTCATTGATTTATTTTGTACATTACAATGAATAAAAAATATTTACATTAAAAGCATTTTAGCATAAAAAATATCATATTTCTGTCATATACTAAGCTACTGTTATGTCATTTCTACAAGGATTTAAGTACTACAGTTAACTGTAGTAAAAACTAAAGTATATGCTGTAATGTTATTTATCACGTGTTTTTCAGTCAAGTAAACTAATATGTTGTAACAACAATCAAAAGTTGTAGTATTGTAGTATAAAGAGTAACGTTATGGTTTAAAAACACTGTAGTACAATAAATTACTATAGTATTTTTAATGTGGATACTTTATTAAAATGTTATATGTACCATAATAATAGTGCAAAGCTGAACTGACAATGTAGTGTCGTCTTTGGATTGCCTACCTGAAAATGCAGGTGGAAAAAAAATCAAGTAGGCCTAATAATACAACATTGTGCTAAAATGTAATCATTATTTACCATCATGATGATGATTCTAGCAGTGTCATCGTCGTTAATAATGATAATAACTCTGAATCTGTGAACAAAGTGACTCCAACCAGTAGCTACACAAATAAACCTAAAATACACAGAATTTACTCCATGTACCATATAATGTGTTATTTGTGCACAACAGTACGTCGTATTTCGGTGTTTTTGTTTCAGTAGGCTAAACGTTATCTGAAAACAAACGAAGATCGATAAGGCCGTTTAGTAGGCCTAAGTTACGCTTTCACATTTCACCCCTCACAAACAAAACTTCCGTTAATGTTGTCATGGGATTTTACTTCATGATCACCTCTAGCTGTTTTCCCAACGCAGTCATCGAATGTCATTCACTTTTTCTCGTGTACACACTCACCTGTGGCTTAAAATGTAGCGAAAAATAAACTCCATTGCTACTCCACCGGAGATCAGCTTCAGCACTGCAGGGGGTGGTGGGAGACATATCCAGCTGCAGACCCGCTCACAGGTACACACACATGTGGTGTTTCTATTATTAACATTAAGCGATATGTCACCCAAAATAAAGATTTACCCACTTTTTACTCTTCCTCCAGTGCAGAGATCCCCAATATAGAGCCCGCGGGCCAAAGTTGACCCATGGTTACCTTTGATTTGGCTCGCCAACCAATCAGGGGAGAGCTGGACAAATGATGGGGAAGTGTTGGGGCGAGTCCCTCAAACAGAAATCGTCATTTCTAAATTTAAAAGACCCTTTGTTTGTTTGTTTGTTTGTTTGTTTGTTTGTTTGTTTGTTTGTTTGTTTGTTGGTGTTGGTTGGTTTGTTTGTTTGTTTGTTTGTTTGTTTGTTTGTTTGTTTGTTTGTTTGTTTGTTTGTTTGTTTGTTTGTTTCTGAGCTCAAAAAAACTGAAGTTAAATGTTTTATTAAATGTGAATTTATTATATATTTTAAAGGATAATTAAACCCAAAAACACATTTCTTTAGATGTTGACAGATACAGTGCTCAGCATATATAGTAGTACACCCCTCACAAATCTATCTTTTAGGTTCATATTTTAATAGAAAGCTATACAATATTATATTTGTGCATATACAGTTAAAGTCAGAATTATTAGCCCCCCTGAATTATTAGCACCCCTATTATTTTTTCCCTAATTTCTGTGTAACGAAGAACAGATTTTTTTAAACACATTTCTAAACATAATAGTTTTAAACTCATTTCTAATAACTGATTTATTTTATCTTTGCCATGATTACAGTAAATAATATATATAATGTTGTACTGTGTCAGTGAACTTGAACAAGTATACTAAAAGACATTAATTTTCACTAGTTTTATTAGTATTTTTTTTCAGTGATTTGAAAAATAAGTTAAATCTTTGTAGACTAAAAATGTTTATATCATTTATTTAAATATTTGGGCAACAAATTATAGATTCATTTTATTTAAAATTATTATATTATTCTTATTTCTTTAATTAAGCTATAGTGGTGTGGCCAGGTAGGGGCCTTACAAGATAATGTGCCCAGGCCCTGAGTTCTTAATCCGGGCCTGGTTACAGCTGAAATAAACTTTATAACTCAAAAACAATGTTACGCATAATAATACAGCTGTTTTGTGTCAGTTAAATCAGTTGACTGTTGAAATTTTTACATTTAATTTTAACATTTTTAACCCAACTGGTTGAGTTATTAAATAAATAAGCAAATAAAGGTTAGAAATAACATAACAAAGTACCAAATATTTAACTCAGCTGGTTGAGTTATTAATAAATAACCTACAGGTTAAAAATAACCCATCAAAGCACCAAATATTTAACTCAGCTGGTTGAGTTATTAATTAATAACCTACAGGTTAAAAATACTACAACAATGCACCAAATATGTTTAACTCAACCATTGGGTTAAATAAATAACTCAACATTTTTTAGAGTGCTGCGTAAAACATATACTGGATAAGTTGTCGGTTAATTCCTACGGATTAATAAAGGGACTAAGTTGAAAAGAAAATGAATGAATGAACGTAATATGCAATCACACCATTATATATTACATTATTATTACATCATTACCTTGCACGTGAAACCTCTAAATCTCCAGTCCACAAGAGGCGCTGATGACCGAAACACTCTTTAACAGTCAGCTCGGTTCGAACAATCGAACAAGGAAGTGTTGAGGAATAATATTGTGAAAACAGCATTTGATTATTTTACTACTAAATTCGTTTTCATTTAATGTTTGGTAAGTTATTGTTATATGTCGTTTCACAGTTTTGATTTCTGCTCCCTGTAAAGGTCTATAATCGTTAACCTGCGTTAAATACATGTCTTGAAAAATCACGAGTGTTGATTCACTGCTGTTGATGTTTTATACAGATGTAACGTTATTTCGTAAAATGCCACTTCAGCTTTGTATTTTAACACAGTCCTTTTATGGCCATGTTATAATGCTAATTCAATATGTGTTTTTTTAAACCGTTTAGAATGTTTGCTGTCATCCTCCTCATTCCGTCTTCTGTAGAAAGGGATCAGTGTAATTGAGGTAAAGTTGCTTTTATATTTACACATTCAGACGTTCTCCATAATAATATAATTTCATAAAAGTATTCGCTGGCAATTATAAATAGTGAAATCATATCAGCAGCAAATGACTATCAAAGCACAACATTGTTCACAGTCAAATAAATAACGTGCTAAAGTTGCTTTCAAGTCATACCTGCATGTTATTGTATGTCACAAGTTGTCACTGAACTAAGACCAACTTTGCCTCAATATCAGTAGTGTTCTGTACAGATGTTTCTGTGCATGTTACTGTTGTTTTTCCTGATTTGTTGTGTTGCTGTCATTGTTAAGATGGAAACAGCCCTAACAAGGAAGATAAAGGGGTGCAAAATCCCACCTTCAGATTTAAAGCCACTAATAAAAGGCTACAGTTGAAATCAGAAATATTATCCCCCCTTTGCTTTTTATTAATATTTTTGTTTCATATTTTCTAAATCATGTTTAATAGAGCAAAGAAATTTTCACAGTATGTCTGATAATATTTTTTCTTTTGAAGAAAGTGTTATTTTTTTATTTTGGCTAGAATAAAAGCAGTACACATTTTTTTAAAATCCATTTTAAGGTCACAATTATTAGCCCCCTTTAAGCTATATATTTTTGGATAGTCTGCAGAACAAAGAATCGTTATACAATACAATAGCTTACCTAATTACCCTAACCTGCCTAGTTGACCTATTTACCCTAGTTAAGCCTTTAAATGTCACTTTAAACTGTATAGAAGAGTCTTGAAAAAAATCTAGTCAAATATTATTTACCGTCATCATGGCAAAGATAAAATAAATCACACTGTTCAAAGGGTCATGGAAAAGTCATGGAAGTTGGACATGACATTTTTCAGGCTTGGAAAAGTTTTGAAAAAGCAGAAACACCCACAAAGTTTTGGAAAAGTCATGGAAAACAGATATCTGTATACTTGCGTTGTCTAAATCAATTTTAAATAGATATAAATATTAATTAAAACTAAATAGATTGTTGCGATTTGAACATGCATCGGCGACGCAGAGGCACAGTAGGTAGTGCTGTTGTCTCACAGCAAGAAGGTCGCTGATTCGAGCCTCAGCTGTGTCAGTTGGTGTTTCTGTGTGGAGTTTGCATGTTCTCCCTGTGTTCGTGTGGGTTTCCTCCGGGTGCTCCGGTTTCCCCCAGTGTGTATGAGTTTGAATGAGTGTGTATGGATGTTACTTAAAGATGGGTTGCAGCTGCAAGGGCATCCGCTGCTTAAATCATGTGCTGAATAAGTTGGCGGGGGACTAATAAAGGGACTAAGCCAAAAAGAAAATTAATGGATGAACAAGCATTATTTTTTTACCATTCATATGTACACATTGCATGAAACATTAGGTCATAAAAATTGACTTGAAAGTCTTGGAAAAGTCATGGAATTTTAGTAGTAAAAATGTCTATGAACCCCGAAATGAGTTATTGCAAGTGAAAACTATATGTTTAGAAATGTGCTGAAAAAACAGAAATTGGGAAATAATTGAATAATTCAGGGGGTTTAATAATTCTGGCTTCAGCTGTATATTTTTAACAAATGGCAAGCAGAATGGGATCAGTGCTCAAAAAGTAAACTTTTTGAAATCCAGCCTGAAATTGAAACAATATCTAAATGTTTAAACTCGAGACACAATCTTGAGTATATCTTGACAGATGTCCTATCAGACACATAAAAATCACACATGAACATTTAATCAAATACTCAAAGGAGAAAAACCCCCAAAATGTCAATACTGCTACAGAAGCCAGAATGTTAAACACATTCTTGTGGAATGCTCTATTTTAAATGTTATCAGACAACAATTTTAATCTGAAATATTTTTAATTGTAAATCCTTTTAAAATTGTAAAAAAAAATTATCAAAGTTAACCTTAAAAAAAGTTTTATCTTATATATTATCATTATTAAATCCCAGCTGTGTTGCAGCTGGAAGGGCATCCGCTGCGTGAAACATATGCCGGATAAGTTGGCGGTTCATTCCGCTGTGGCGACCCCTGATTAATATAGGGACTAAGCCTAAATAAATGAATGAATTATTATTATTCTTTATGTATTTTAATCTTGTGTATTTATTGCTGTTGATGACTTTAAATTGTTAGAATATTTTATATACAGTTGAAGTTATCAGCCCCCTTTTTATTTTATTTATTTATTTTTTTAAATATTTCCCAAATTATGTTTGACAGAGCAAGGACATTTTCACAGTATGTCTGATAATATTTTTTCTTCTAGAAAGAGTCTTATTTGTTTTATTTCGGCTAAAATAAAAGCAGTTTTTAATTTTTTAAAAAACTTTTTAAGGTCAGTATAATTAGCCCCTTTAAGCTAATTTTTTTTGATAGTCCACAGGACAGCGTTATAGAATAACTTGCCTAAGTACCCTAACCTGCCTAGTTCACCTTATTATACTAGTTAAGCATTTAAATGTCACTTTAAGCTGTATAGAAGTGTCTTGAAAAATATCTAGTCAAATATTATTTAATGTCATCATGACAAATAAAAAATAAATCAGTTTTTAGAAATACGTTTTTAAAACTATTATGCTTAGAAATGTGCTGAAACAAAACAGAAATCGGGGAAAAAAATAAACGGGCGTTTATAATTCAGGGGGGCTAATAATTCTGACTTCAACTGTATATAGAAAATTGTTATTTATATTTATAGATATTTTTGCCATGACATAATCATAAAAGCTGATATAGCATTAAACTCAAACTTCTCTCTCTCTCCTATTGTTAACGTGATGTTTACAGGTTGCCATGGAGACCACTGAGCCAGGTCAGGCAGATGGAGAGGAGCGGATGATGGACCTGAGACCCAGGACCCGCTCCAATCCAGAGGGTGCGGAGGATCGGCGGAGCAGCACGGGCAGCCTCAACAGCAGCCTGCCATCTGCGCCACAGCCGGCCGTGGGCAGCCGTGTAGAGGGAGAAGGAGAGGCGGCCAGCTCTGACAGCCCACCGGTCTCTGCCACCGCCATCGCAGCCACTGCTTCTGTCCCCGTTGCTGCAGTGGGAAACACCACCACCACCAACACCGCCAGCCTGCCTGCTATGAGTCCTGCAGTGAAGGAAAGACCCAAACCCTCTCAGCCGACCAT